ATTAGATCCAGAAAGAGAGCAATCTGAATTGCGATGAAAAAAACAGAAGTTGATAAAAATAATGTAAAATTCAGGGTATCGCCTCACTGATTCCATCTAGATCTAACATCTGCGTGAAATGGAAGATTAATAAGGATATCCAATCACCGATGATCACAGCAATAACATTAATATTGACAGTGATAATAATTACAACGACGGTGATAATATCAATGATGATGTAATAATAAACAGAATCAACATCTCACCCGACCGGTCTCGTCCTGATCCACTTTGAATCAAGACGGTCCAGCGCTATCCATCGAATATACGCCATGACAACAGACAAATACAAACCAATCGTATGCAATGCTATACTGAGTACCACATGAGCTAACAGAAAAACCAGCCATCCATATGAATACCTGAAATGGAATCCATATTCAGTGATAATAGTATAATACAGTTGTAATACTCACAGTCACCGTCGTTATTCATTATTTTTGATGATGTTAACGGTATGTAAGCATTCGGACTATTATTTTAATCGTCTTCGATTCTTGAAAATTAATCTTCACTTGTTTGACTGAATCTATTATACAATTAATCGTAAGAATGAAAATAGGAGAGAGTTCAGCAAACGAGAGAAATATATCGTATTATAATAATAAAGTATGCATATTTTCAAGCTGAAGCTCGTTAAAATGTTACTTTCTCAGGATAAGTCCTTTCGCAAAACTTAAAAAGTTTCAGCTAAACATGCTTGCGATCAGAAATGAGACGATAAAGTTACCAATGTTAGGAATGATTAAAGCAGTGAGAAGAAATGTTCTCAGTACTGCTAAATGACAATACAAAAAATACCAGAGCAACAATAATGAAAGTAACAATTAACAATAATATTCGAACAATAACATGAAGGCAATTAATTGCACAAGTTTATTCACTGAATACGGTTACAATATTTGTTTCTCATCTCAAAACTTTAATAATCAACGATTCGTTTCGAATTGATGATTGATATCGCAATTGCTTTGAGAAGCGTGGCGAAATTGATGAGA